ATTTTGGAAAGATTGCTCTTACTATAAAAACGTTTCATTTGAAAATTTATGATTTAAACAAACAATCTTTAAGTCTTGTCGTTTTATAATTATAATGAAAACTACTTGAATTCACTAGGTTTTAAGTTTAATAACTTTTTTTTATCAGCATGTGCATCAAGTTCCCTTGGGTGACGGTACTTAGTGACACTTGAGCAAAGTCGGAGTGGTAGTTAGAGACCCATGAAGGAATTAAATATTTAGGACGTTTTCATATCGTTGAGATAGCTGATTTTCGGTAAGGGTTATAGTAACAACGGTCTTAATCTAGCTTCGTTCGAATTTAGATATTAAGTCATTGACTTGGACTTTATTGTATCCTTGTATGCAAGTATAAATAAGTTTCCTGAGAAGTTGTATTGACTTTATTGTTTTGATGAAAATTTTAATTTAGTCGTCCTTTTCCAAATTTTGGGGTGTTACAAATTTTTATGCAAACAATTTGATAAGGATACGTATATCTAGATCATGTTTGATAATCATAAGTCAACTTATTTTTTTCAACTTATTGACCTTATATGATCAACCATGAAAAACCTTTTTTGAAAATTTATTTCAAAAAAATGTTTCAATAAGGAAGGATGAACGATCAAAGTCGGATATCAATCGATCCAAACCCTAGATTACATAATGGCAACCATTAACATTTTTTTGTAGGAAGAACCCTGGAAAATAAGAACCAGAGAACCAATAAAAAACAAATGAAAAAATATATCAAAATGGATAACAAACTGAAGAAAATAAAGTGATTGTTTATGTGTTCATGAGAGTGAGGGGAAAATGAAATAATTTTTCATGTTCTTTTTGAGCAGGAGATAAAGAAAATAAATATGTCATTTTTACAAATATACACTTATTTGCTCTATAACAAATTTTAATAGATGGATAGATGAGTAATTTTATAAATATTTTTAATTGTTCTAAATAATAAATAAATGAGGGGCTAAATCATGTAAATTGCTGAATTCATGAATTCATAGTCATATGAATATGAAATTGTGTTCTTGAATTAAGGTTGTTTATCAAACGTTTATTCGGGTAAGTGCTTATCAAGTCACTGGAAGAATATGGTAAAGACCAAGAATCTTACCCGGTAAGATCGAGCCAAGGACCGAGAGTCTTATCCGGTAAGTGAGAACGATGACTCTTACCACGGTTAGCACTTATCAGATAAATTGTTGTATCCAATGCCATTTTGGTGGATTAAAATCTTACCGAGTAAGAAAGTGATAGTGTTGAATTTTACTGATAAACGCTTATCGGGTAAGTGTTTTGTAAACGAACCCTTAAATATTTATTTTTATATGAATGAGCAAAATTAACGAGACAAAAGTTGCGTTTTATTATATTTGATTATTATTGCTATCCTATTATATTCTATTCTATTATGTTATTTATTTTTTTATTCTATTGAGAAGAGAAGTTACGATAATAATCGTAAGAAGAGATCTTCATCCTTGAATTAATCATAATTGAATGTCAACACTAATGAGGTGATGACGACGAGGACCACATATGATTTTTTGTAGGAATTTCTTTTGTAAGAAATTCTTGCAGGTGTCCTCCTGGGACAAGCCACGTTATTTCTCTCCGAAATGCAACAAAGTCCTTGGTAGTATGTCCATAATTATTGTGGAAATCACACCACTTGGATTCATCCTTTTGAGCGTCAGGCTTACCGCTTTTCTTGGGCCATCTCACTGTCTTCTTTATTGTTTTCAAAGCCTCGACCAAATCTTTATTAGTTTATTTGAACCCATATTCTGATTTTTTTGGGTAAGTGGGAACATATTTCTTTTTGTCAAATCGAATACTCGAGATTGGACGATGTTGTCCTATCATGGATGGCTTTTGGTTTTGAACTTTGGACGTTTGACGCTAAGGGGTTGCTTGTTGGGGTTATGTTTCTTCCAAAACACGATGTTGTCCTTGACACGCATATAAGCGAGCATCCTGGATCGTATGTCTTCAAATGGGTTCGACTGTGTATTTGGTTAGATCTAAATACAATTATGATTTTTCCTCGAGTCCTATTTTATAAGCTTTGATGGTTGTTCGTACGTCAAAATTTAAGATACTTATCATTTCGGAGTTGAATTGGTTGAAATAACTTCCATCTATTCTCCGTTTTTCTAGGTGAAGTAATAAAAAGGTCACTTGTTTGCTTTTCTATCTTTCTGCTACTTGCAAATTGTTGGAAGAATTTGTTGACCAAGTCAGCAAGGGAATTTATAAATTTTGACTTTAGATTTATAAGCCATTATAAAGCTGCTTCGATTAATGTCACACCAAAACTTCTGCACATGCAAACCTCTTCATAATTATGGGGAATTGAGACGGTCCACATTAACTGTTTGTATTGGGCCACACGTTCATTAGGATCGAAAATATCAGAGTATTTGGGATTAAAGGATGGAATGTTGTATTTCTTTTGGGATGTCGACCGTGAATATGTGATCGGTAAATGATTACGCTTGAAAACCAGTAGGAGGTTCTATGTCTACAGGAACAACAACTCCAGGAAGTTTGTATAACAACGTGTGGATTTTTTATGTTTTGTTCCTCCAAATGTTTTAGGCGACAAACTGTTAGATCATCCTGGTTATTTGTTAGATGATGAATAGACATAATGGGGGAGTTATTCCAGAGCCTTGAGCATTAAGTCCAACGGTCGAGTGAAAACCATTTCTATGTGATGCTTCAGAATCATCATGGACACCAGAGTGGAGAATGGAACACTTGGGATTGAGAATGATATGGTAGGCATTGTAGTCGTAGATGTTAGGGGGTGTTTGGGATTGCTTATAAAAGCAACTTATTGACTTATTCCGGTGTGGCATCGGTAATAAGCACTTTTGAGTGTTTGGGTAAACAACTTATACCGGTGTCAAACCGGTAATAAGGAGTTTTTTAAGAAGTTAAACACTTCTGACTTATCATAAGTTAATAAGTGCTTTTGTAGAAAAGTCATAAGTTGTTTCAGATAAGCAATCCCAAACACCCCCTTAGTCTCAACCATCAGATTTGCAAATAATATAAATAACATATGATCCAACATTTAGAAGAAATTATTAAATCTTATGCTTTAAACACTTATACAATTAAATGTATAATTTATTAATTAATGGACTGTTTATCAAACGATTATTCGGGTAAGAGCTTATCAAATCACATTAACTTATCGGATGAATATGGTGAAAACCAAAAATCTTACTTGGTAAGAACGAGACAAGGGACAAGAATCTTACCCGGTAAGTGAGTGCGACGACTCTTACCATAATTAGCGCCCTTACCGAGTAAATTGTTGCATATGTTGTCGTTTTAGTATACCAATATCTTACTCAATAAGTAAATGATAGTGTTGAATTTTATCGGTAAACATTTAACGGGTAAGTTTTTGGTAAATTACCCCTAAATTAAATTAAATTATATATATATATATATATATATATATTTTTTTTTTTTAAAGAGAAAAGTCTAAAATAACCCAATGGACTTTAGTGTTTGAAATGATTAAGTCATTGGACAATTTTTTGAAACAAATAAGTCCTTAGACATTCCAAAACATGTTAAATAACTCATTGTGCAAAATTTTTGAAACAAATAAGTCATTGGAAATTCCAAAATATGTTAAATAACTCCTTGGACAATTTAAAACATGTTAAATAACTCATTAGACAATTTTTTGGAACAAATAAGTCATTGGACAATCCAAAACATGTTAAATAACTCCTTGGACTTTTCTAAAACAAGTTGGATACATTCTTATGACTTGTACAACTACTTAATGTGGTAAAATAGTGAAAAAAGTTCTAAAAAAAACCCAATGAACATTCATATTTTGAACGATTAAGTTCCTAAACATTTTTTGAACAAAAAATGATTTAGATCTATAAAATTAAACAAACATAACAAAAAAATACTTACACTTACAAAAAAATAATTACATTTAAAAAAGATTTTT